CGTGAACAGTGGTGGGTAGCGAAAGCAAGAAAGGTGGAAAAGGCAGCGGCAATAGGTAATAGCAGACAATTGTTCAGACTTGTTAAGGAAACCGACTGTTAGCGAAGCGCTCAGAGAAAGATGGACATATTATACATTCTCAATCCAGGAGATTGGATCGATGAGCGGAACACTTTAGGGATCAGTTCAACTGGCCTTCAGCCACACTTTGGTTTCCCACGATCTCCAGTCAACCTGAATGGCAAGTTCATGTAAATCCTCCGTCTCTTTACGAAGTTGAAAAAACCATAGGAAATCTTAAGCGAGGGAGAGCAACAGGCCCTGACAGGTTTACTCCTGAGATTTTTAAGGATGGTGGTTCAGTATTAGCAGTGAGATTAATTGAGGTCTTAGGTAGAATTTGGGAACTGGACGTAATCCCATCTGACTGGTCTCAATTACTGATTGTGCCAGTCTATAAGAAAGGACAAAAGTCCTCTTGTGACAATCACAGAGGAATCAGTTTGACAAATATAGTGTCTAAAATATTAGCTTCAATAATACTTCGTCGCCTAACCAAAGCTTGTGAAGAACAGACTAGAGAAAATCAGTCTGGTTTTTCGACCTGGACGTGATTGTATAGATCAGATATTCACACTACGTCAGGTTCTAGAACACAGACACACATTCAGACGCCCCACAATGGTAGTATTTCTCGACCTTAAGGCGGCATTCGATTCTGTTGATAGTGAGGTTGTATGGCAGTGTTTGTCACTGAAAGGAGTACCAAAGAAGTACATTAACCTTATAAAGGCTCTCTACTCGAACACAACTGGTAGAGTGAGAGCTTATGGCGAACTGTCATCAGAATTGACTACCTCAAGTGGTGTTCGTCAGGGCTGTCCACTCTCTCCATTCCTGTTCAACTTTGTCGGCGACGTACTTTTAGAGATAACGCTTTCCTCGTCTAGATTTCCAGGGGTTGAACCTCTACCAGGAGGTTCACTTGTTGACTTAGAATATGCTGATAACATAGTTTTATTTGGTGAAGACGCTGACAAAATGCAGAGTCTTATGACCACTCTAAGCAACAATGCAGGCATGTTCGGGATGCAATTCTCCCCTTCGAAATGCAAAATGTTGCTTCAGGATATGGTCGCATTGACACCCGAACTAGTGATAGGGAGTGAAGTAATTGAGCGTGTCGATCGCTTCACTTATCTTGGAAGTCTCATCAGCCCTTGTGGTCTGGTGTGTGACGAAATCTCGGCACGAATACAGAAGGCTGGACTAGCTTTCACCAACTTGCGTCATTTATGGTGTAGACGAGATATCCGTCTATCAACCAACGGACGCGTTTACTGCTCAGCAGTTCGTTTCGTTCTACTTTATGGCAGTGAAACATGGCCGATAAGAGTAGAGGATATCCGTAGGTTACTAGTATTCGATCAAGGTGTCTTCGAAACATTGCTCGTATATCCTGGGACTACCGAGTAAGTAATGCAGTTGTTAGGAAACGGGTCCTAGGTGAGGATGGCAAATCGATTAGTGAAGTAGTGAAACTTCATCAGTTGAAATAGCTGAGACATGTGTTACGTATGCCCAACCACCGACTGCCTGGACGTGCGATGTTTCATAGTATAGGAGTAGATTGGAAGAAAGCTAGGAGCGGCCAAACCAAAACATGGCATAAGTCCATGAAGTCACTGACAAATTGACTGATCCATGTTTGTAGGTGTAGACTACGTGGTTGGGGACCGCGAGATGATAGCAACCGATGGTGAGAGACCCTGAATGAAATGGCTCGAAATCGTTTGCAATGGCTCAGGTGCATCCACTCTTTGTGTTCTCCTAAATCCTAATCTTCTGAATTCTTCATATCCGTTTATTTTCTTCGCTTTCCAAATTTATTTTGCTGGATTATACTCTTTGAATAACATTATCAAACCCTAATGTTTCCGATTGCTGGTTATACTCTTACTACCACTACTACTATGGAATTTGAATCGACAATTGTATCTGTGTGTTAATGTGGTATGGCGACTTGAACTGATGTACGTACGAACGAAGTTCTATGTTGTTACTTACTGACTGATTTTATAGTAGGATTGATGCTGTATTGATAGTAGCTTTTGTGATTACCAAACAACCTCATTGTCAGACGGTGTATTAGGTCAGACAAAGTGCGATAACTTCAAGAAGTCTACATTACTCCACTTCCTAATTACTTTTCTAAATTTCAATTTTTCTGTATTAATTCACTTCCTCATATAGAAAATCTGGAGACACTTGCAAATGCGAATAATAATGAGTATCACACTTGTCTAACATGTATTATATATAAGTATTTGAAGTAATAGTTGGTAGAATTTATTAATGTTAATATTAACATTGGGATACAGGTATATCTAGTTGAAGAATCCCAAGATAGACGAAATGTGCTACTTAAGATCTGAATGCCTGACTACATGAAGTCTAACTTCAGATAGAAGTTATACATTTTAGGCGACAAATTTCTTGGATGTATGATACTTTCTCAGCATTCAAATAGCCTTTTTGTAGGTCCTGGGTTCGAGTCTCGCGAGGTGGGATCGTGGATGCGTACTGATGAGGAAACCACAATAGGATGAAATGGCTACCCAGTTCTTACAGATCTTCCATGGTGGTTCAGCTTCAATTGACTCATGATCTCAACTATTAAAATGACATTGTTATGGAAAATATAAGATTAGCACTTATCATAAACTGTTCATGTTGAACTATATCCACACTAACCACTCACTGGTTAGTACTTAAAATTACAATATATAGTGCTTAGTATTGATAAAAATTTATAGTTTAGACATCTACTCATGTCACTAAGCCAAGTTAGTCACAAACACAATGTACTCTGTCTATGTTTAGATTTATAAATTAAGATAGAAATCGTCATGATTCGTTATTCTAGGTAGTTTGAAAATTTATCACCAAGATTAGCCTGTATTGTCGGTTGCTATGTTAAGCCCATATGACTTGTTCTAGCTTCTGGACAAAACAATTTATCCATTCTTCTTGAGTAGTCACGGTTTTGACCTTGCTAATTATTCACTTATCAACTGTGACTGTTTTTATATGAGCGTGTTTGTGTGTGTACACTTCTTATCCTATTCACCACATATCTGCAATCTATTTTTATATGGATTAATGCTTGATTAAATGGAGTTGGCTCACAAAATGCCTTCTCCACTGCGCGTCGTTATGATTCACTTTCTTCTATTCGCCCAATCCTTCTCATTTCCTGTCCAAATCAGTGAGTGTACAATATATATGTATTCAAAAAATCCATTCTCTTATTCGACTTATTCGATTCCGTTATTCACTAACTCGATTTAAGTCGATAATCGATATACGAGAATAGCCGACATATGTATTTCAATGACAGTCAGTATACGATCCAACTGGAGTCAGATTCAGGACCATTATAGTGATGAGCCAGTCAACATCGTGTGGTCTAAATGATGTCAAAATGAAGGGCCACTAAAAACCACAGTCTCCTAACACTTACCAATGATGACTGAGAGTATTAATGAGTTAGTAGACAATAGTATGATATCAGTAAGTAGATTTCATTGATTTTTTGGAGTGTTACTTCTCTATAAGTGTGAATTTTCAGATTGGGATACTAGTGATTATCATAATCCATGTTCAGAGATGTTGGTTAGTCAGCCATGACACTGAATACTGTAATACTTTTGGAATCACTCTTACTTGAATATTACTTTATACTTTGAATCCTTTAGTTTTATTTGTTTTTTAACCATGTTTCTTACATTTAATTCTTTATAATATTAGATATCACTTCTTTTTATGCACTTCTTACCTTGTTAGTTTTGTTTGCCATCATGTCTATATACGTAACAACTTGGACTACTGACTGATCCTTGAATAACATGTTCAAACCCTAATTTTTCTGATTACAGCTTATAATTTTACTACCTTTATCACTACGGGATTTGAATCGACCACTGCATCTCTGTGCTAATGTGGTGTGGCAACTCGAACTTATGTACGTACGTACGAAGTTCTATGTTGTTACTGACTGACTGACCGAGATGTTTTGAAAATGTGATTTGGAAATGAAACTGGATTTACATACAAAATAGGTAATTGGTAATTCTGTCGTCTAAATTAAAACGTCTTTGAAGGTAACGTGAAAGTATTTAGATACAATTTTTTTCAGGAGAACAAATCAAAGGCGATACTATTCAGTTGATCGTTATCATAACTGTTTTAACCTAGTGAAGATTAGAGTACAGGTAACCTCTATTAAGTAGCTAGATTATGTATATCTATATTCTCCTTATTATAAGCCTTATTTTGACCTATAGGTTATCTTTAACTATACTCAGTTTATTGATTACAGTCTCTCGCAATCACAGCCACCTTCGGGCTTGATCTTGTACAAATGTTATTTCCTATTTTATGGTGTGATGTGATCTGTTTGGCTTGTATATAAACCAGATATGTTTGAAGTAAATGATTCATAGTGAAAGCTGTTATTGGTGTTCTGGACTCAACTGGCAGGGCTGTGAGGAAAAACGACCAATAAGGACACTAAACTGCTCATACCGGTTGAACGTCATTGGTTTGACACAGTGCTAAGTTTGAATAAGTCGTATTTCGATTAGCGAATAAGTCATGTGATATTTAGATGGACTTAAAGTCACAAAAATAACCTACACGAATAAGACCGAATGGCAGTTTTTTGTTTTGAAAGTTCAGTTTTGGTTACACACAATTCGCTAAGTTTATGAAGATCAGACGTCAACAAAAAGGTTGAATTTGTTTTGAATTATCGTGATGAATCATGTTGATTCATAAATATGTTTGACTACAATATTCATCTATTAAAGGTTTTTCTTCCTTAAAGCGTAAACTGAAATGACACGTACATGTTTCACTTTGAAGGGTTTTTAGTGTTGATTTATTAGCGATTCTCTTTATGATGTCAGCTCTAAGCGCATAACTGGGCCTTACAAGTATTCATGGTCAGTGACGCTATAATGAAAATGGTGTGAATTGTTTGCTGTACATTTCGGTTTCTAAAAGAAACGGATTACATCTGAGTTCTATTCGTTCAATTTGATATTACGAATGATTGAGATATAAAATATTGGATGCAAACAGTGTTTTAAAGTTTAAACGTTTATCAATAGCTCGTAAGTCCTAGATCCTTGCTGGGACGAAACGACCGTCCATATAAACACAGACTAGCAATGAAAACTATTTTAAACTATTACTTATATCAATATATACATACCACAATGAGCACGGATTTGATTGGAAAGGCGTCAAGACACTAAACTGGGAAAATTTCAAGAATGATTTGGATTAGAGTAGACTGTTATTTGTCATATTGATCCCTCCAGGTCCAGTCCATCAAATATCCGTAAATCCACATGCTGAGGACAATTGATCTTGTAGATGATGCATTTCACTTCCCATGCTTTAGCATCTTTCATTCCAGAATACGTCAGCTAGTCACTGACTGATTCTGAAGTAACTTAATATCCACGTAATAGCTAGTGGAAATGTTTTCGTATACGATCTATTTCCTGGGAAGATTTTGTCACTGTCTATCCAATATACTTATATTTACGCCAGTATATATTTTTGTGAAAGATAAACTTGAGACGTGTTCGTTTAATATTTCATGCAGTGAAGGTGCTCTATCAAGCCTTGATTTTTGTGATAATTATTTATATACAATGATTTATTTCTGTTGTTGGAACCGAAAAGCAAAAATCATCTGCCTTAGTTACAAATCTTCCCGCTCATCCTAATTATAACTCTTTGGTTGTGCATTGTTTTTAACTTTATGTCAAATAATTTAAAAGAAAAGAGGTATTACCTGGGGTTCTAGTGAGAAGCAGTGGCATGTGGAGTTGTACAACATATGACCGTATGGTTGTTTTACTTTAGATTTAATTTGAACCGTTCTATCTTTTCGATTAATTTATGAATCGAAGCTCTGGTACGGCCGAGAGTGGGGAGAGTCAGCTCTCCCTCTCGAAATGCTCTTAAAAAGCCACATGCATACAGACACTGCCAAGGAAGTCCTATTCACTGCCTTCTCGCCACGGGAATATTGTTTATGAAACTGAGAGGACGGAAATCGAATAACCTGTGCTTTAACCAGGTTGATGGATACGGAGGATCCACCTAGGAGAGTTGGAAAACCCTTATTCCATGCAAGTGGTGCCCATGCATTCCAGTATCCTGAAGGAACAAATGGCATATGAACCAATCGTTGGTCACCGGCTACCATGAGACTGCATCTCTTGACGTTGCCCCACTGCCTTGTGAATCAAACCTTTACGTTGAAGGTTCCAGACGTGACCCCTCAAGAAAACCACGTGCTTTGGTTTGGGCACCCGGATCAAAATCTCATGCTCTATCATTAGTAAGATTAACTCTTTCATAGATTTACAAGTAATTTATTTGGTACTTTTAATGAAAACTAATTATTCACATAGTAACACATTTGTATATGTTTATACATATAAAGTACATTGTTTAAATTCACATCACACATAACAGTAATATGCCATAATCATCTTAATAATGATAATTAACATTTTTTTCTTATGTAATACTGATAATGAATAAACAAATGGACTATTTGTAACAGTTAGGTAATTACTTACAATTGGATGATAACTTTAAAGGAATAATAAAACTAGACATTTCCATGATCAAATTTGTAATACTTCAATATCATTATCAATATTATCTAATTGTGCAGTGATGTTATGATCGATCAATCGATTGAATGAATTCCGATTGTTAATCATGTTGGATTCATTTGATAGTTCATTAACTGTTTTGTGAAATGTTAACCATGATGGTTGTTTGAAAGTATCTTTTAAGTTATCTTGATCATTATTATTATTATTTCTTTGATTAATTCCTGTTTTCCAATTCGAATTGTGTATAGATGCATTGATAATGTTCGAATTGTTACTGAATAAAATTCCATTATTAGAAGATTGATGTTGATTTATCACTTCCTGATATGTATAATAAAATGAATAAACGAAAAGAAAAGAGTAAAATACAGTATGATTAGTATAGATATACTTACTTTCCGAATACTGTTTATCCTATCTTTACGACTACGGGATTTGAATCGACAATTGTATCTCTGTGCCAATATGGTATAGTAACTCGAACTGATGTACGTATATACGAGGTTCTGCGTTGTTACTGATTGACCGACTGAGATATATTTACGTATAAAGAATTTATTAGACTTGTTAACTAATTTTATTGCCTTTTTTGTTTTCATTCTGAGACACCTCAATGGTATAAACCACAAACGTCAATATAAGTAATAATTGTGTAGTATTTTGAATATGTGGATCAAATTTCCATGCATATAATTTACAACTATGACTCCGCCTGGAGTCCTTCTGAGGATACTGCCGATCCGAAGCCCGGATAAAAGAGGGTTGAGCATAATGTTAGCGATGTCATCCCGTAGAAAACTAACTCGCTAAAAAAACGATAACCAGAAAAAAATTATTCAAACTATGCCTTGGAAGTTAAAAGGTTTTCATTTAGAAGAGTTATGACGCCTCACGGTGAAAGCTGAGTTCCTTCGGAAGTCTCAAGGCTAATGCCCCTTCTGACAAACAGAGCAACCAGTAATTTAGATACATGAAATGCTCGTACAATGTGGGAGACAAAGAGTCTTTCGAATTGTTGCAGAAATTTACAGGTATAATAACTTGATAATACATTGTTAGAATCGTCTCATATAAATTTCTTGATGTGAAAAAAATTTTTCGAATAACTACTGGTAACAGTCCTATTTCAATAATTGAATTCCTGAGTAAATTGAAGCTAGACCACTATGGAAAACCTGAAAGCACTGGACGGCCGTTTCATCCTAGTATGAGAAGCCGTGACCAGTGGAGTTCAGCCTGGTCTGTTCTTGAGATAGTAACTCACTGAAGACAATGATGGATATGTCGCTCAATTTCGTGGATTAGTTGAAGTTAGACATTAACACCAGTGGATGCCAGCTCAGTGGTCTAAAGTTTGAGCGTTCGCGTGTGAAACTAATAGGTCCTGGGTTCGAATCTCCCGGGGCGAGATCGTGGATGCGCACTGCTACTGGGGAGTCCCACAATAAGACGAAACGGCCGTCCAGTGCTTCCAGGTTTTCCATGGTGGCCTGGCTTCGATTGACATATAAATTCAATCATTAAATTACTTATTAGCTTTTTATGGTAAAGTTTCATACGATCATACTTATTGACAAGTGAATCTTGGTGAGCCTTAAAGTAAGTAATCGACAAATATGGAAAGTCTATTATGAGTAAGTGAATTATTCGCTTATTAAAGTCACTGACAACATCTTTCTATCTACATATACGTATCACAGTTGTACAATTTGGGTTCCCATTAATAGTTTGCCTTTTTCCTCTATATAGCTACGTGGTCAGGCTTCAATAAAAAGATAGTAAATAAATTCCACTAAAAAAAATAACAAATTATTGTCTCAAAGCCAATTACTTCATATAATAGGAATATTAATCTTAGTAAATCATACTAATCCATTTATTCTATGGATTCTCTTCAGTTGTATAGAACTACAAATAAATAGTATGGTGTGGTCTGCTTATATCCACACAAGTAGTATATAGCGATGGTCAGGTATAGAATGTATTTCAGTAGAAGAAAGAGAAGAAAAGAACGGAAATGGAAAGCAATTGGTATGAAAATGCAAGAACAATGCATTCTGAGACGATGGATTGATATTTGCAAAAGCAGCAGTCAAGTTTGAAAAAATTGATTGACATTTTGCAAATTAACCATTTACCGTATGATACTTAAATATTAGTGAGATGTTTTATATGAATAATCGTCAAGATTAGAACGAATAGTTTGACAGAAATTGGGCACCGAGTATAGAGAAGACATTTTATGTGAAAATTATATATGATATGATTATATATATATATATATATATAATCTCATCGATTGAAATCTAAATAATTCCAAAGTTTCGTCCAGTCAACTTATCTGAACTTCTTTAGGGTAATGATCAAAATCATATAAAAATTATATAGCTGTTCTGTAATTTCACATTCAAATATATTTGTTTGTTCCCACTCATGTTCTTGTTTATTAAAGTAGTATTGCAGGTGGTTTCCTTAGGTGGCCCTGTCCCTGAGTATTTGAACTGGAGGTCTCGTTCAGAAAGTAGTGAAGCAACGTCAGGAGGTGCAGTCCCTTGGTAGCCAGTGACCAACAATAGGTTGATATGCCATCTGTTCCTTTGAGGTACTGGAGCTCATGTCCACCATTGGTTTGTAATCAGGGTTTTCCAACTCCTCTAGGTGGATCCTCCAATTCCACCAACCCGATTTAAGCGCCGGACATTCGCTTTTATTCCTCTTACTTTCGCAAAGAATAGTAATGTCGCGAGAAGGCAGTGAGTAGGACTTCCTTGGCAGTGATTGTATGCACGTGGCCATTTGAGAGGGAGAGCTGACTCTCCTCACTCTCGGCCGTTTCAGGGCATTTAGGGGCAAAATTACGTTATGGGTTTAGTCCTTGTCTGATTTAATAAATGCACGATATTACCTTTTCACAAACTAAGATGGAAAGCTAACCAGTTCTCCTTAGTTTTTAACAGTTTCTCAGTTGGTTTTAATTCGTAATAATTACAGTAGTGTATAATTCTGTGCATTATGATTATAAAAAGAAAAACATCTTACCGATGTTTTATTGACATTATCCTTTATCGATCCAAATAAATCATTCCATAGTTCTTCTTCTCTTGTCTTTCCAGTACTAGTTTTTGAAATAACAAATCACACCAAAATTAGAATAAAAAAGTAGCTTAGATATGGTAGAAACTACTAAATTTATTTAGAATCATGGACGCTCACTGCTGAGGAGTCCCATTAAAGGACGAAATGGCTGTCCAGTGATTCCAAGTTTTCAATGGTGGTCTCACATCGATCGGTTCACGATCTCAATCAAAAATGTTTAGAAGTAATTGGTCACTTGATTAGTGACCATGTCATGTTTGTCTAGTACTTTAAGCACAAATTAAATCCTATCGATCGAGTTGGAATGTATTCATCAGTTTAAGTGACTCGATATTTTGTGGACTGTGTTTTGATTTTAGTTGACTGAAGGTACCCAAAAGGAAGTCGTGGGCTTAAGTCTCGTTAACGTAGTAATTATTCATCAACATAGATTAGCTGAAGTCTTGAAGGGACTGATGCTCCCCATGAGACATAAATATTTTATAATGATTTGCAAATACAATCTCACATTACCTTTCTTTGGAATAATTTTATCTCAACTTAACAAGTTAGTTAAGTTGTACGCAAAAAAAGTTGATTAGGTGGTAGTGTAGTGAATGAGAACACATGTGGTGACAATCGAATATATTACAATACGAAATTACAGAACATCATAGTAAAATCTGAGAACCGTACAGTGAATACTTAATTTGTAAAATGTCAATCAATTGTCTCAAACTTGACTGTCCCTTTTGCAAATCTCATTTCATCGTCTCAGACTTCATTGTTCCTGCATTTTATACCAATTGCTTTCTGTTTCTGTCCTTTCCTTCTCGACCTTCTGCTGCCAGACATTCTGATCCTGACTATCGTTATATACTATTCATGTCGATCTAAGTAGCACATACCACATGAGTACTGTACTGTCTGAATTATATATTCCTATCAAACCATTAAAAAGATAAGTTGAACGAATAAATATTTTCTTTTAGTTTGTATTTCATCAGGGCTCTACACCAATATATATATAAGCTTTTTTAAAGCGTTAGAAGGTGACACCAATTACATTATAGTGAGTCAATTTAACAATGTGGTAATCAGCTAGTTACTTCTGGAGAATAATAAGTAAGGTGTATTTTCACAATCAGTTACTTATTACAAACAGTTACATAAGATTTTTGGTTAAGATCATGAACCGATTGATATGTGACCATCATTGAAAACCTGGAAGCATTGGATAACCGTTTCCTCCTGTTGTGGGACTCCTCAGAAGTGCTCATCCACGATCCTGCCTCGGGGGATTCGAACCCAAGGCCTTCGGTTTTGCGCGCGAACGTTTAATCATTAGATCTCTGAGCCGGCATCCAGAGGTGTTAGTGTCTAACCTCAACCAACCCACGAAATTGCGCAACCATCTTCCATTGTACTGAGCAAGATACCTGTCTCTACCCGACACGCATTAACTCCACTGGTTACAGCTTCTCACTAGAACGCCGAGGATTCCCTCGCGAAGCTAGTCAATAGTGAGTACATGGTAATTGTCAGTATGAGGACGGGTACAATGAAAATGAAATAGTAATGTTACTAAACAGGTTACATAAGATTAGAATTAGAAATTAAAATAATAACAAAATTGATATCCAAGTAGATGACCAGGTTAGATTCAAAGTCTATACAAACATTTGGTTTTTGATTAGTATTCCTATGTATTGTGATGTATGTAAGTGTCAAATTCCAGAATAATTGGGTAAATTTGGTGGGACACTGAAATTTTATCTATGTGATGACAATTATCGACCAGATGTAGCAAAATAAACCTCTTTAACACTTTCTTTTGTCGTAGGGTCAACCATAGAGGTTGATGTTCAGAAATACAATGATACATTTGTTTGGTTATGTGTCTACATATTAGTGTAGAGCCCTGATCAAGAATTAACTGATAATAAACATGCCTCCTGTCAATTGTTCCTTTTTGCGGTGCAACTTTTATCAATGTTCTACTTCAAACAGAAGAGAGGTTCTAAAAATAAATCAATCAGCTTTGATAACCTTGCCTCTTATTTGTTGTTTTTATGTGTTTCATCTAACATATGTGTTAGGCTGATCTCAGGTGCTGTAACTTATTGATTGTTTAGTATAGAATAGTAGATTGAATCTATGTAGCGATGTTTACTACTTGAAGATTGACCTGAATGTTATACTTATAGAAATTCTATAGGAATCTTCAGGTTTATTGGGTGAATAATTTTGGCATTTTCTAACTGAAATGCATAACTGTCTGCAACTAATAAGCAAAGATAGATGGTGGGTGGCAGCGTTTCGTCCTATTCGGTGCTCGTCGGTTGGCTTAACATACATCTTAGAGCTGATATTTACTCCGAGACTCAAATCCAGTACCGTTCGCTTCAAAAGCCATAGTGTCATCCACATAGTTACTGAGTCCAGAAATTCACTAGTTTGTACAATGGGATGAAGTTCTAATTCACTTTTGTATTGGTTAATTAAATTTGCCCATTGATGTTTAGGACTGCAATTGATCTTTCTCTTATTGGCATATGGGCATCCTGTGCAGATTGCCTCGACATCACCTTAGATCACAAGCATTATACGCGATGGCGTCGGAATCGAACGGTACTGGGTTCGAATCAGTCAGTAGTCCAAGTTGTTACGTATATAGACATGATGGCAAACAAAACTAACAAGGTAAGAAGTGCATAAAAAGAAGTGATATCTAATACTATAAAGAATTAAATGTAAGAAACATGGTTAAAAAACAAATAAAACTAAAGGATTCAAAGTATAAAGTAATATTCAAGTAAGAGTGATTCCAAAAGTATTACAGTATTCAGTGTCATGGCTGACTAACCAACATCTCTGAACATGGATTATGATAATCACTAGTATCCCAATCTGAAAATTCACACTTATAGAGAAGTAACACTCCAAAAAATCAATGAAATCTACTTACTGATATCATACTATTGTCTACTAACTCATTAATACTCTCAGTCATCATTGGTAAGTGTTAGGAGACTGTGGTTTTTAGTGGCCCTTCATTTTGACATCATTTAGACCACACGATGTTGACTGGCTCATCACTATAATGGTCCTGAATCTGACTCCAGTTGGATCGTATACTGACTGTCATTGAAATACATATGTCGGCTATTCTCGTATATCGATTATCGACTTAAATCGAGTTAGTGAATAACGGAATCGAATAAGTCGAATAAGAGAATGGATTTTTTGAATACATATATATTGTACACTCACTGATTTGGACAGGAAATGAGAAGGATTGGGCGAATAGAAGAAAGTGAATCATAACGACGCGCAGTGGAGAAGGCATTTTGTGAGCCAACTCCATTTAATCAAGCGTTAATCCATATAAAAATAGATTGCAGATATGTGGTGAATAGGATAAGAAGTGTACACACACAAACACGCTCATATAAAAACAGTCACAGTTGATAAGTGAATAATTAGCAAGGTCAAAACCGTGACTACTCAAGAAGAATGGATAAATTGTTTTGTCCAGAAGCTAGAACAAGTCATATGGGCTTAACATAGCAACCGACAATACAGGCTAATCTTGGTGATAAATTTTCAAACTACCTAGAATAACGAATCATGACGATTTCTATCTTAATTTATAAATCTAAACATAGACAGAGTACATTGTGTTTGTGACTAACTTGGCTTAGTGACATGAGTAGATGTCTAAACTATAAATTTTTATCAATACTAAGCACTATATATTGTAATTTTAAGTACTAACCAGTGAGTGGTTAGTGTGGATATAGTTCAACATGAACAGTTTATGATAAGTGCTAATCTTATATTTTCCATAACAATGTCATTTTAATAGTTGAGATCATGAGTCAATTGAAGCTGAACCACCATGGAAGATCTGTAAGAACTGGGTAGCCATTTCATCCTATTGTGGTTTCCTCATCAGTACGCATCCACGATCCCACCTCGCGAGACTCGAACCCAGGACCTACAAAAAGGCTATTTGAATGCTGAGAAAGTATCATACATCCAAGAAATTTGTCGCCTAAAATGTATAACTTCTATCTGAAGTTAGACTTCATGTAGTCAGGCATTCAGATCTTAAGTAGCACATTTCGTCTATCTTAGGATTCTTCAACTAGATATACCTGTATCCCAATGTTAATATTAACATTAATAAATTCTACCAACTATTACTTCAAATACTTATATATAATACATGTTAGACAAGTGTGATACTCATTATTATTCGCATTTGCAAGTGTCTCCAGATTTTCTATATGAGGAAGTGAATTAATACAGAAAAATTGAAATTTAGAAAAGTAATTAGGAAGTGGAGTAATGTAGACTTCTTGAAGTTATCGCACTTTGTCTGACCTAATACACCGTCTGACAATGAGGTTGTTTGGTAATCACAAAAGCTACTATCAATACAGCATCAATCCTACTATAAAATCAGTCAGTAAGTAACAACATAGAACTTCGTTCGTACGTACATCAGTTCAAGTCGCCATACCACATTAACACACAGATACAATTGTCGATTCAAATTCCATAGTAGTAGTGGTAGTAAGAGTATAACCAGCAATCGGAAACATTAGGGTTTGATGATGTTATTCAAAGAGTATAATCCAGCAAAATAAATTTGGAAAGCGAAGAAAATAAAGGGATATGAAGAATTCAGAAGATTAGGATTTAGGAGAACACAAAGAGTGGATGCACCTGAGCCATTGCAAACGATTTCGAGCCATTTCATTCAGGGTCTCTCACCATCGGTTGCTATCATCTCGCGGTCCCCAACCACGTAGTCTACACCTACAAACATGGATCAGTCAATTTGTCAGTGACTTCATGGACTTATGCCATGTTTTGGTTTGGCCGCTCCTAGCTTTCTTCCAATCTACTCCTATACTATGAAACATCGCACGTCCAGGCAGTCGGTGGTTGGGCATACGTAACACATGTCTCAGCTATTTCAACTGATGAAGTTTCACTACTTCACTAATCGATTTGCCATCCTCACCTAGG